TTATCGCCCCCCTGTCCTTATGAATCAGAACGGCTACACTCCTGTCCACATTGCGGCCAAGAAGAACCAAATGGAAATAGCCACAGTCCTGCTGCAGCATGGGGCTGAGACCAACATCTTGACCAAGCAGGGTGTCACTCCACTCCATCTGGCCTCCCAAGAGGGCCACGCTGCCATGGCTGCCCTGCTCATAAGCAAAGGAGCTCAGGTCAACGTCCCCACTAAGGTAGAGTAGAAGACTGGGTTGGTTTTGAGTAATACATCGGTAAATAATGCACATGGAATTACCAGATCAAGCAAGCGGTTTTGGGGAAGTATAGAATTTTGACACCTTGTATTAATTATACCACTTGACAGGAAAGAATGGACAGAGAAGTTTCTGCTGTTTATTTCCAGAGTGAACAGGTCCTGGTGGTGGCTGCAAGGGAGGAGGTGCATACAGAGGCAGAGGTAGAGGCAAAGGAACGGGACAACGGAGCTGACCTGACAACCAGCCGTGTTACATGTGCAGTAAGCTGGTCAGTGGGCACATGGGAGTAGGCACAACAGGGAGGAAATGATGGAAAACAGGACTGGACTGATCAGGAGCAGACAGGTCAGAGGACCACAAACATATACAGTACATACTCAACAGGAGCTGCGTGAGTAAAATGATATACTAAACTTACAAGGTGTTATAACGCTATGTTTTGTATGTTATGTTTTAATTTATTTCTTTTTTTTTTTACACAACCTCGTCTAAAAATAAATGGGGAAGACATTGAATTCTTATGTAACTGTACTTTAGACATTCCCCAAGGCCAAACCCTTGTTATGGGAAACTGCACTGAGAGCTGCCTACAGCTGACAAACTTGGCATCTTTCATGCACACTCTTATTACAACCTCTCACAGGAGGGAAAGCATCTAGATGAAGCCAGAAAAACTGCTATCTTACAAGCACCCAAACCCAAATGATTTCATTTTTAGGTATGATCAATTTTTGCAGGAGCTGGATTTCCAACTATGCAGCTGTCACAGCTCCTTTAATGGCACTGATCTATGACGTTCCGCTAGCAGCAGCAGATCAAATCACTTGGACAGAGGAAGCAGAAAAAGCTTTCACAAAGGTTAAACAGATGCTAGTGAATTCTGCTATGTCACCTTTTTTATATTAACAAAGAATGAGCTTTGCTGAGTCAGGGAGTTTCCAAAGTTTTGCAGCTAAACTTCATGATTGGCACATTAGTGGAATAAGAAGAGAGAATCATGGAGAAACATGGCATGCCACCACACATGGTAATGGAATATCAGAATTATGTGATGGTTTGCAGCAGGTACCAAATACTAGCATCTTTTAAGACATATAATTCTCCAGTCACATCACATTGCAACCCATTTGAAATGTTACACAAATATCAACCAGTTAAAACACACACAGAGTCTGTCTGCTACTTAGTTTGAGACCTGCTAATACATTAGCAAAGTACTGTATGTTACCTTCCCTGTGCTGCTCACCTGGGTCCTCTTCTGCAGGCAAAAGAATCTGCTTCTTTTTCTTCTTCTTTTATTTGGACATCATCATTCCAGCCAGCTGATATTTGTTGGCACAATCCAGTGGCACAAAAGAAATCCATCAGTTTCTTTGATTTCTTATCATCCTCCAAGTTCAGTAAAGTCATTAGAGTGAGAACACTTTCCCCAAGTTCTGTTAATCCTTTATATAATTAATTCCTTAGCCATACATAATTAGTAGCACACTGAAGTAAAGCATGCTTTACAGTCTTTAACTGTCCACACTCACGTTTACCATCAGGCCTATACAATTTATTGCTCTTATTTTTCTGTTATTTAATGGTGGTTGACAAACAACTAATATAGAATTTGTTGTGGAATCCAGAGCCATTTATACTTCCTGTTTGTGCCATGTCTGAGAAGAAAAGAGGGGTGGGGTCTGATTGTGTATATTTTCTGTAATGCGTATTTCTGGAAGCTGCATATTTTACAGATAAGTAAATAATATTATAATTGTTTATTGATGTATAAATTTAATTGCATTGTATGTAATTAGGAATGTGGCTAAATAGTTTATGTGTGTGTATGTAAAAAGTGAACTCACCCATTGATGGTTTAGTCCATCTAAATCAATCAGTGGGATGGTATTTAAGGAGGAGATGGGTTGAGTGTTGAGCTTTCGCCATTAAAAAACAGCTGAAGAAGAAGAAGAAGAGTTGGGCTTCTCTTTGTTCTTGTCACTTAACTGTATGTGGTGCCTTAATAAATACATTCTAAATTATAGGTTCTTCTAAGAGCCCTGATAGACTACACCCCCAAACCCCACCCACCCATCCACCCTGGAACCCTATTCAGGAATAAGTGGTATAGACGATGGATTGATGGATGGTTTTTCTAAGGTCTGATGGGATTAAAGTTTCAGGGAAAATGTAGCTCTGTGACTCCTATCTAGTGATAATACAGAGGAAGGGCAATCTATGGGTCAACCCAATTTTACGGCTCTGCTGTGCTTTGCCCCTTTAGTCTTTTGGCCCTTTTGCTGATTGTTTTTGTTTGACAGCCCTGTTTCCAGCTACAGCACAGGGCTTTTTCCTGTGAAAATGTTCTGACAAGGTTAGCAACTAGCTGGTTAAAATGCAGTAGTAGTAATAACAACAACAACAACAATAATGATGATATGCTTGGGAGCTTTTTTCTAACCATTTGCATTGTCAGTCATAAAATCTTAATGCAGCAGCTCTGTAACCAAGGCATCTGCAGCAATAGCAGCCTATTTGAGACAGACGTTATTCTCCCTTTTACATTAACCATCAAAAAAATGCTAAAGCACTTAACTGTGAAACTATTTTAGTTGAATGACCAGGCGCTCAGTGACCATCTGCTTGATAAGGCTTTTTAACCCTGTAAAGCCTGACACATAAAAAAAAATACCCAGAACATTCAAATTTTTTGGAACTGAGATGTTTATTAAATCTTTTAACAAAATCCAAAAGAAAATTCAAGATTCGGGATTTTTATTTGCCATTTATGCATAGACAAATAGTCCAAGCATATAGGAATAAATGTGCCATATTATTTAGATTATTATTATATTTTTCGTGTATTACATTTGATATATGGAGCATTTGTGGTGATTTTTTTTTTTTGCTCACAAACTCGCGTAGCAAATATGATACAAATGGTTTTATAGGGTTAAAAATCGTCCTGGGTCACATGGGTAGCCTTCACCTTTAACTTCCTCTCAACCAAGCTACAAATCGTCGTCACACTTCCTTCTAAATTTGATTGGTCGAGTGAGAACAGTGTCGTCGTTATCGGTTATTCCTGGCTCTCGATTGGCTCAAACCGCACGCTGCTACTATCAGGGTTGTGCGCCCCATCAGCGTGTGTTACAAGGAGGTTTTACCTGCAGTTACTTGTAAAATGGCGAGCTGGTGTGTACGAGCGGTGAGACAGAGCTACTCACTTGTAGCCTCGTCTGCACTGTTAAGGTAAATAGTATCTATGATTAATTTTGTCGCCTGAATCGTGCCTTCACAGAAATGCTGGGCCTGTTTTGACCGAGCTAGCAACGTAAAGTTTCGTAACCGAACATATTCATCGGTGTTGACCTTTTATGTGATAAATACATACATAGAGTGACCGTGGAGACGTGTGTTGGAGATGGCCGTGCTCGGATTTAGGTGTAACCAGCGTAGTAGTCTGCAATTGTTAGCATGTGGTTGTTAGCAACAGAGGAGGAGGAGGATGACACAAGGTGACACATTCTGAGGACGAGAGGGATGTAGGAAGTTGATGATATACTAATATTCCTATTGTTAGCCAGTGTGTACGCTTTTTTTAATTGTAAGTTTCAAGTAATATTAAATGAACAATCTGAGTGGAGTTTGGTTTCATGTCTCCACACTAGTCTATTGGCTGGACAGAGGTGATGACATGTGGTGAAATAGGCTACTGTACTACTCACAATGATTCTAACTACCGCTTGTTATTAAACTATACTATATATAAGTGGACGTTTATCATTAAATCACATAGAGAGTAGTTGCATAACATTCTTATCACGTACTACTGGCAGTTTTACATTTGGCAGTGCTGTTTGATAACATCAGTTGGCAGGTCTGGAAAAATAAAACTTCCCTGACTTCTGGAGAAGTAAAATGATATATGTACAGTACTTACAGATGGTTTCAGATCTCCCTCCAAAATCTCCCATCGGTGTTCAGCTGGGCTGAGAAGATGTGACTGACTGCCATAGCAGCACAAGACTGACAAGTGTCAAACCTTTCACTGAACCCATGTGCATGGAAACAGGTGGAGTTCTGTATCCCTCTCGTTTAATCGTGTTTTTCACCAGTCTGTAAAAAGTAAAACCTAGTGATTCACAATGAGGATACTGTTATTTTTCTTTATTATACTGTATCGCGTGTCCCATGGCTTTGGCCATGTCCATTAGTTGTTACCCGCTCTGAAAGGATGATTATTGCTGTGTTTAATGCCAGTACAGTTAACAGTTGATTTAAGTACTGCAGGCTGGAGGTGATGTATTATTAGGGCTGCAACTAAATTATTTTCACATAAAAGTGGCTAAACAAGGCCATGGTGATCATCATTGTCACTCAGTTGACTAATTGTTTCAGCTCTAGGGTGTCTGCAGTTAGTTTGGCTACATCTATTTGTTGGAAAATGACAAGTCAAGGATAAACAATAGACAACGTGCACTTTTTTTGTTTGTTTTTCTTGTCGGACTGACAGATAATGTGAAGGTAAACTGTCTGTGAGGAGAAAGAAACAAAGTCAGCCAGCTGAGATAGTCAACACACTGGACACTTTAATATGAGCACGTGTGAGGCTGGCTAATGAGCACCTATACTAGAGGCTCAAGTTGGAACATAATTAAAACAGGCAAGTGAGCAGGCAGCCACTGGTACACCACAAATGACCTGTTGTATGTTTAATTTCCACCCAGAGCATCTCCACGGTTGTTGTGCACAGCCACCCAGCAGAAGAATGGCCACAGGACAGAGGAGGAGGCTGAGAAGCCGGAGCACGAAGCTGAGAAGCCGGAGCAGGGCGCAGCAGAGAAATCCCAGATGGAGGAGAAGACCCAGCTGGAGGAGCAGCTCAAAGACATGACAGTAAGTGAGATTTGGTTGCAGCTCAGCCTGCTCCCCTGGCTCGAGCTAAACTGACTGGTGTTAATCTCTTTGTCTGAGATGGTCTGCTTTGATTGCAGTATTGTGATAGTAACCTTATGACAGTATTTTGAAGAATGCGCCATATATAAGTATTTTTCTTATAATCTCATGTAACAAATATATCAACTTTCATTAACTTTTCGAGAAGGCAGCCTAACAAGCCAAACTTCGGCAGCGTTCAATTACTTCTCAATTATTTGCTCAGCCCTAGTGGTGCTGCACTGGTTAGTCAATGGATAAAAATTGTGACGTGACTTTATTAAGTAAAATTCCCAACACACTGATTGTGGCCTCTCAGATGTTACGGCTTGCTGCTTTTCTTTGTTTCATGCTAAATTAACGTCTGGGCTGTTGGTAAATCATTGACAGATTAACCAAAAATACTTGTCGCAACCTTTGTTTAAGTCAGAATGATTTCACTGGTTAAAAAAAAAGGTGTAATGAGATTTCATTGTGATTTAGTAAGTTTATTAAAGAATATCTTTATAGTTTGGCTGCATATGCATTTTTGTGAATAAACAATTACAATTGTTTTCAATTTGATCTGTACTACTTTTACAAGTTTTTAACAGACATAGTATCTGCTTATGGTTTTTTAGCCCTGAGCTGCATTAGATAATGTTGGTAACAGTGTGTTTTTGTGTCTGCCACAGGATAAGTACAAGCGGGCCCTAGCAGACACGGAGAACCTCAGGACGCGGAGCCTGAAAATGATGGAAGATGCTAAATTATACGGTAAACCCGCTTTGCATTTTAGCTTTCAACACTTCTGCAGGTTGCACCACCTAAGAAAACATTGCAAAAATGGATCCTAATGTTCTCCATGAACTAACCTGCTGCTGCATATTCTGACCACTAGATGTCATGCAAGGACAACTTCAGCCTTTTTACTAAGTCGAGCATTTATGAAATGGTTATACTGTTGGGTTAGTTTATTTTCAACTTGCATTTGCACTGTTTATCCATCCATCCATTATCCTGAAAGGGGGGGGGCTGGAGCCAATCCCAGCTGACACTGGGCTAGAGGCAGGGTACACCCTGGACAGGTCGCTAGTCACAGGGCTGAGATGTAGACAAACAGCCTGAAGTTCTACCATGTAGAAACTTGGCTTATGATTCACAGTTAGAGATTTATAGCTTGCTGAATAATGTTCTTCCACCACCAGGGATCCAGAGCTTCTGTAAGGACCTGTTAGAGGTGGCAGACATCTTGGAGAAGGCCACAGAGAGCGTGCCTAAGGAGGAGGTGACCAGTGAAAACCCTCACCTGAAGAACCTGTATGATGGCCTGGTGATGACCGAGGTCCAGATCCAGAAGGTGTTCACCAAGCATGGCCTGATCAGGCTCAACCCCGATGGCCAGAAGTTTGACCCCTACGAGCACGAGGCCCTATTCCACGCCCCCGTGGAGGGCAAGGAGCCTGGTACCGTTGCTATAGTAACCAAAGTGGGCTACAAGCTTCATGGCCGAACTCTCAGGCCGGCATTGGTGGGTGTGGCCAAAGCCCCCTAAAAGAGATGATGCAACTGTGACGAAGTGGCATTTGTTTTGTTGTCTGGGTGATAGATGAGCTCAAGTACAGGAGACTGGTCAGGGCACACTGCCACCCTTTTTCCAACAAGCCTGTCTGAACACCCCCCACCACCATCATATTGTCTCAAAGAGAGGAATCCAGCTAAACTGAACTTTGTGTCCAGCTGTGTTTAGCAGATGCATAACTATCTGGACTAGCAGGACAGTCTTTTCGGTCAAATTTCAGTTTGTCATTGGCCACATCAGTCATTTCTTGTCTTAGATTGATTTAAAATAAATAAATAAAAATAAATCTGATGAATCACAGGGTGAGGCTTTCACATGTGTAGAGCCATACATCTTAACTAGAAGTGACTTAAAAATGTTATACCCCCTAATTTTAACACTTTTTTGGATGAGACGTGTTATAAACTCCATCCACAAAGTCCACAGTGCTGGTTCAGTGCTGCTGGTATCATTCCAGACCTTGGTTTACAGCCCTAATAATTGTGAACTGGACTCCTCGCTTCTTTTCTAGTTAGTGTTAAAATCACTGTGTGAATAAAGCAAAGAACAGTACATGAGGACCTGAGGAAAGGTTGAGATGTTGTTTTGTACTTAGGAGGTCTTTCCAACGCCACCTCTTGCCCTGGTTCATCTGAATGAGATCAGGCTGCAGTAAGCCAGCCTCAGTCACAGTAGTGTCCCTATGCCACAGCTTGGTTCAGTCGTGCTGGACAGTGATGTGACAGCTTTATCTGTAAACCATTAGAATGATTGTATGTGTGGACCTTGGCCCAAACTTTCACAGCCTCAGAATAAACTGATTGACTTTGAAAGATGTGTTTGGAGTTTGAGTTGTACGTATTACCCACTCTTCCTAGTGCAGAGTTAATTCAGCATAGACTTCATGTTAATATAGGCCAAAAAAAAAAAAAAAATCCAGGCTGAAGCTGAAAGCTACAGCATAACTCACCGGCTCTGTGGTTACAGCCTTAAGGGTTCTCTACTTCCAAGATTAAGAGCATGATTATCCCCCAGTTGGCACTGCAGTTAGCTATACAGTGGAATTGTTGCACTCAGTTTAAAGAATCAAACTGGCTATATTCTGTATTTTTCTTAATTCCACTTAAAAAGATCCAATCCAACAATAAATTGATCCTAATAACTAGTATTACCTATGTATCTTAACTCACACTGACCAAATGTAAGATTTACATTTTCATTAGGAACCAGCAGCCTAAAAAATGTCAGGACATATCAAGCAAGGCAGTAACACCTTTTTGGTTTTGGTCTTTTCGTGGGACTTGATAATCAAATACTAATCAAGCTATATCCTTTAAAATGCATGTTATTAAACTGTTTTGGATTTTTCCCGACTCCAACAACTACAGTAAGACTTTTCTTGTTCTTCAGATTTTTTGTTAATTTAGGTTTTCAAATTATGTTTCGTGGGGTTTTTGTTAATTTACAATATAATGTGGTGGAACACAGGAATTTCCCCATTGTGGAATCAATAAAGTCCTACCTATCTAATGGTAAATGCCAAACATTAAATGGTGTAAGCTCAAACATGCTGCTCCTGTGTAAACCTTCAGACTTGGTCTACGACTGCTCTTTAGTTTATTCTTTAAGGTTAACAATTACTGCATATTATTGAGAAGGAAACAGGACTGATTGAATATTATAAAGTATTTGCACTTTTAATACATCTCCATACATACCCCGTCATGTGCAACAACAAAGTAACGGGACAGCAAAACAGACAGTTCAACAGTATCAGACCAGTAACGAGATGAACGACAGCTCAGCAGCAGGCCACACCTTTACCCAAGCTTCAGAAAATCCAAAATCTGCTCTTTTTTTTTTTTAATTACAAAAGCTATAAAAAAAAAAACCATGACAAAATACTGTACATTTCACAGGTCAGTAATTATACTTTTTTCCCAATTTATCTTACATAATTATTTACATCTGGTAAAATAAGGTAAACAAAATTCCCCCTTACAAAAACTATCCCAACATACCATTCTGAAACAGCGTGGGACATTTGGTTGCACATGCAGAACACCTCTACTGTCCAAATCTGAAAGCTGACATTCAGACAAAGATCCGTCACATAGCTTCAGTGGACAGTTGTCTCTCATCCCCGTTTGACTGGAAATTAGCACCACGTTTTGGAAACGCCCTGATGTTTGGCCCTCTGAGCTAACCTCTGACCTGAAAAATACTTATCTCAATTTCATAACATACATACTTCCCTCTTAAGACCACTACACCTGACAAACTCCACTTATCTCCCATCCCAATGTTAGCAATGGGTTAAGGACCGTATTTCATTAAATCATGTACCACTAAGTCCCAGAGTCTGCAAACAAAACTAACACTCTACTACAAATTAAAATATATTTCTCTTACGGTCAACAGATCTCATGTAAAGAAAAAGTTAGTTTATCACATAATATTTTGTGACGTCCATACCCTACAGCCAAAGGCCTACTGGTTCCTATGGAAGAACGTAAATCTAAAAGATCGGGTCATGAATATAGCTTTCTTTCTAAAGGCTCCTTAATTTCCTATGTGTAGTATTTAACAAAAGTTATTCAAACAAGTGGAAATAGTGCATTTGGTGTGAACTATTTTCAGTATGAACAGAAGAATGAGGCTTTGAATACACACACACACACACACACACACACACACACACACACACACGCTGGTAGCATGGGTCTTTTCATGGATCTGTTGACAATAAGAAACACTGATTTACCCTATAAAAGCTGTAGTTTTTGGCTGGTGGTTTCACCACACTGGTGAAGTAGGACTTAAACAGAAACCTGACCCCCTCCGCAGTTGATCCACAACCTCAAGTTCTCAGGTGCTACAGTGAAGAGGAAGCCACGCCCCTTCCATGATGACAAAAAAAACTAAATAAAGTTAAAAAAAAGGCAAAGCAACACTCTTAAGGTAATGCCTACCTCTACAGAACTAATGCCACTCTTGACCCGATTTTCTCCAAAAAAATGGAAAGAGTTAAAGAATATCAGTCTGTCACATCTGCTCTGCACCCACACATTCACACTCCTTCCCCCTCTTTCTTTGCTTTTGCTCCTGCTATGAAATGACAGATTCAATAACTTCATTTACATCTAAATGGCACAACAGCCAGCGCTCAGCCCAGCTTGCAAAATAAAAAAAAAGCGTACAAAAGCAGAAAAATGAGAACGAGTCAGCGGTGCTGCTGTTACGGTCCTGCCTTCACAACAAAGTGAAGTTTAGTTTGAAAAGCTAATATCTGGTTTGACAGGCCATCTGGGAAGCTGTGTGCTTGTGAGGTGGTCAACCATAAGGCCAGACGAGTTTGCTGTTAAGACACTGGAAATGCACACAGTGAGGAGGAACACTGCTGTAAAGTGTACAGCACAGAGAATATTAGCCCCCCCCCCCACACACACCCA